GTTCTACGGTTGATTCACCCTCCGCAACCCATTTACCCTTGGACCAAACTTGAACATGTCGAGAAAATCTGCTGACGAGCTTCTTCAATCTTGGCAGCCCATGGTCGGACGTGGAGGTGATCCCAACGACATCGAGGCTCCCTGGCAGACTCTCAAGGAGGCCATGCTCGACATCCACAACAAGAACTGCAGCACTCTCGCTTTCGAACAACTCTACCGTGCGTCTTACAAGATTGTCCTCAATAAGAAAGGCGATCTGCTCTACGATCGAGTGCGAGAATTCGAAACAGCCTACTTTGCCGACCATGTCATCCCCGCCATTGAGAAACTCGTCACGGCAAACCTCATCAGCATCGCCACGGGCAAATCCAACTCGTCCGTCAACGAGCGGCGCCAGATGAGCGAGCACTTTTTGCGCAACCTCAGGGTGTCATGGGAGGACCACAATACGTCGATGAACATGGTCGCCGACATTCTGATGTACCTCGACCGAGGTTACAGTCAGGATTCGCGCCGGCCTTCCATCTACACCAGCTGCATCGGTCTGTACCGTGATCGCATTCTACGCGCGAGCCTCAACGACAATGCCGACTATACCATTTTCGATATCCTCAACTCGGTCGTGCTCGACCTCGTCAACATGGAGAGGGACGGGGAGGTTATCGACCGCTACATGATCAAGAACAGTGTTAAAATGCTCGACTCCCTGTATGAGGACGATAATGAGAACATCATCCTAAGCTTTTACTACAACATATGAGCCCGTTTTTCTCCAGTCCTTGGATACTACGCCAAAGAGTGTTCAGAGGCTCTCGATGAGGCGACGCAGCGTTTGGCTGCCGCAACCGAACGACGATTGTCGAGAGTCGATCGATGCGAGACGACTCTTCACAGAGATACCAAGGAGCAGTGCATCAAGATCGTGGAGGCCGAGCTGATATCGCGCCACCTTGACGAGTTTCTGGCGCTCGAGGCTAGCGGGCTCAAGGCTATGCTCGATCATGATCGAATCCACGAGCTATCTATTCTATTTGGGTTGGTGGCTCGAGTCGACGAGACAAAAGCATCTATGAAGGCTATTCTCTCTAGTCGAGTTGTGGAACTGGGTCTCGAGATCGAACAGAACGTCAAGAATACCGATTTTTCCGCCCCTGCTCCTGCGGGTGACGGTGAGGAGGCTGCCGATGGCGCGGACAAGAGCAAGGCGCCAGCGGCTCCCTCCGTCTCCGCACAACAGACGGCTGCCGCGATCAAGTGGGTCAACGATGTCCTGCAGCTCAAGGACAAGTTCGACAACATTTGGCGCCAGGCCTTCCACGAGGACCTTGTCCTGCAGACAGTGCTCACCAAGAGCTTTTCCGACTTCATCAATGTCTTTGCGCGAGCCTCGGAATATGTGTCGCTCTTCATTGACGACAACCTACGCCGCGGCATCCGAGGCAAAACGGACGAGGAGATCCACGTCATCATGGATAAGGCCATCATCCTGATCCACTACCTCCAGGACCGCGACATGTTTGAGCGATACTACCAAAAGCACCTGGCGAAGCGGTTACTCCACAGCAAATCGGAAAGTCACGAGGCCGAGAAGGAGATGATCTCTCGCATGAAGAGCAAGCTCGGTAACCAGTTCACGGCCAAATTTGAGGGCATGCTTCGCGACATGGACACGTCAAAGGAGACAACCGCCGGCTACCGAGATCACATTCGCTCTTTGGGAGATGTCGAGCGCCCACAGGCCGAACTCGGCATTAATATTCTGACGAGCAACAGCTGGCCGCCCGAGGTCATGGGTCGCAGCGCACCACTCGCCGGTGGCACCGAATGCATCTACCCCGAGGAAATCACAAGGCTGCAGGAAAGCCTTACCAAGTACTATCTCACAAATCGCAGCGGTCGCAAGCTCAGCTGGGTCGGTACGGCCGGTAATGCAGACATTCGCTGCGTGTTCCCCGCCATGGCAGGTGGCAAGGGGCCTCTGGCCCGCGAGCGCAAATACGAACTCAACGTTTCCACGTTTGGCATGGTGATCATCATGCTCTTCAACGATGTCGACGACCGATCGTTGACAGCTCAAGAAATCCAAGCACAGACCAACATTCCGACGCCCGACCTCATGAGAACCCTCACCTCGCTTTCAATCGCGCCCAAGGCACGCGTCCTTCTCAAGGAGCCTGCTAGTCGCCGGATTGAAATGACGGACACTTTCAAGTTCAATGCATCGTTCGTCAGCAAGACGGTTCGCATCAAGGCCCCCATCATCAACGCCGTCTCCAAGGTTGAAGACGACAGCGAGCGCAAGCAGACGGAGGAGAAGAACGCACAGTCCCGCGCTCACATTATCGACGCGGCCATCGTGCGCACGATGAAGTATGTAGCCCTGGCTCTATTTCACATGGCATGTTCGCTGATATGATTACAGGCAACGGAAAGAGCTTGGCCACTCGCAACTCATATCCGAGGTGGTCACTCAGCTGGTCGGTCGGTTCAGCCCTGAGGTCAGCGTTGTCAAGAAGCGGATCGAGGACTTGATAGTGCGGGAGTACCTGGAGCGCGTAGAGGACGCTGATGTGCCAACGTACCGATATCTCGCATGAGCGGTGTTCAAAGCGATGGGCACGAAGCGAGGGGCCCGAGTCAGTACGTGAGGGAACGAAGGACACGAGATATGGTCATGACTGCATCCACCAGGCGATAAGGTGACATGGCATTTCGTTTGCATGGCGTTTGGTTGAGAGGCGTTTGGTCGTTACCCTGCAGGTCAATCTTCATGTATGGGGGCGAGATGGGTTTGCTTTGGGACGTGATCAGGTTGGTCGACTGGGTTTCCAGCAAAAGTTCCGTGTGTGTGGTTGCGGGAGGGGGTTCAAAGAGAGGTCATGTCCTGCCATGCCATGTCATGATAAGCGAGTGGTTTTACAGGACAGCTGGTCGACATAACTGATCGAGACGAGGAAAAGAACTTGTCATGGTAGACAGGTGCGAAGCAGCCCTTACAGCCACATCATTCACATCAAAATGCATTGGGTTGTTCCAGTGATGGATTCAACTGTGTATACGTCGGGCATGGAGTTCACACTCACTCTGAGAGGACCACATTCTATTCTCCCAACTGTTCTCTTACCGAAATCCTTCGCATACCCCCTTGCTCAGACATCTATGCCCACAGTCAGTCAGAAGTGCAAGCCAAAACAGCCAAAGACTTTCAGGACACAAATAACAAGTACCAAACCTCAGTCTCGGCCCTTACAGCTGCGCCGCCGCATGGAACCTGCTCAATATCTCCTCAGCTGCCTCGGCGTCAGCGTCCATGAAGCGCTCCGTCCTGTCGCTGAGCAGGATCCAGTCGTTGCATTCGCGGCGACACATGACGCAGCGCACATCCGGCACGCGGACGTTGGCCGTGAGGACGATGCGCAGACAGCACCGCGCGCAGAGGTGGTGCTTCATCTCCGGCACAGCAGCGCCGGACGGCACAGCTTCTGGATGTCGTCGTAGCCCTCGTCGCAGACGGTGCAGCTGGGCGCCTTCTGTCCCTCGTGACCCCGCGCCTGTGCCTCGCCGCCCGGGCTCGTCTCGCATGGCGAGCACCTGCTGGACGGTCAGGCTCCTCCTGTCGAGCATCAGCCAGGCGTGGTCGAGGCGCAGGGAGAGTTCCGCGAAGACGGCGGCGCGCCTGCGCTTGAAGACGTCAATCTTCTTCTGGACGGTGCGGATGCGTCTGTTGAGCAGGTCGTGGACGAGCGTCGGCACGGGCGACTCGAAGGGGCAGTCAAAGGTGATGTACATGATGGACCAGATATCGTCGAGGGCGCCGGGGATTTGCGGCTGCTGGCCCGCGGGGAAGCCCGGGATCGGGGCCCGCCCGGCGGCGCGGTTGTGGTCGACGAGGGTGAAGAGCACGCGGGCGACGAGGGCGACCTGCTCGTTCGACAGGCCAGAGTCGTAGCTGATCCACGCGAGGGCCGGGTACAGGATCTGGGCGAGGCCGCGCACGAACATGGCGTACTTGCCATGGTCCCAGTCGTCGACGGGCTCGGCGCTCTCGATGCGGCTGTACCGCGCGTGCTCAATGGCCGTCGGCCCCTCGATCAGCGTGCGGTTAACCTCGTGCTCGAGCTGCGCCACGCACTGCGCGAACCTGTTGTCCTCGTCCGGATGCGCCCAGTGCTTGACGCGCTCCTCGGGCGCCAGGCAGAGCCGCCTCCACCTGTCGTTGGTCGTTTCGCTCCAGGCCTTGTCCCTTTCCGAGTCGAGCTCGTGGCCTTCGTCGTCTCGCATGAAGCACCGCATCACAACGTCCGGGTAGGACTCGGCAATGACGCCCACGTCAATGAACCGGAGCAGGCGTCCGAGGTTCGACGCCTCGGCGAACTGTGCCTGGTTGGAATGACAGGTGCAGTGCCACGAGTCAACGCCATAGTGTCCGTCATCTTCACGGCAGAAGTGCGAGTAGATCAGCCCTGCAATCCGATCGGCGCTGGGCATCTCGACGTATATCTGCCAGTCCAGGTTCTGGTGAAACAACACCGTCAGCGAAACCAACACAAGATTCAACACACCTTCGAGGTACTGGTCAAAGGCGACCATGGCCTGCCCACGCTCAAAATCATCAGCAATTTGCGCAATAGGGCGTTTGTACGACCAGGTGCTGTCGGGAGCCCGAGGATAGTCGGGGATGCGAAGGCAGACAGGGCAGTGGTGGTTGGGGATATTCTCACGCCTTAGTTCCATCGTGTTGAGGTCTTTGCAGCTGAACTGGGGTTCGCCGCACTCGACGACCATCTCGCAGACGTGCGCTTCATAGGCTTCGTTAGGCCGGCTCGCACTGTTCGAGAAGTCAACGTAGCACGTGAGAGTGTATGGTTCCATCACGATATTCGACCCATACCGCGCAGGCTTCTCGCCCACAAACCGGCGCTTTGGGGAGCCCTCTTCGTCGGGGTCAGGCCCTAGAGCTCCTGTCTCTGTTTTGGGACAGGTGTATCGTCTCTGAATTTTGATGCACATGGTGTTCTTGTTTGGTCTGTTTGGTTAGTTGAGGCTATTGTTGCTGGTTCACTCAAAACAAGCGATAGCCGTCAAGGCTTCACAAGGCGAGAGACTCGTATTTGTATCGCTCACACCAGTTAGCTTAGAAGCGGTTAGAACGAAACAATTGTTTTGTCGGCTAACTTCAGACCAAACACTGTGATTGAAAGCGGTTGATGAATGATGTACCTGGCAGACCCAGAGCTACCGTGACAAAGAGAATGCACTCGGCAAGATCAAGAACAGGAAAGGTGCCCAACACAGAGCTTGAGCTATCTCGCCGACTTCAATTCTCACAGGCACCTATCTTATCCATGTCTGGTTAGTTTCATTCACCGTGTCCATTCCTTAACGTTCCTACTTGGATGTGTGAGCCAAGCATGCGTATTGTCTCGGGATCGAATACCATGTGCTATCGAGGGGCCAAGGTTTTGTCCAAAAATCAAATCCGTGTTCAAGCTGTGTGCATATGTGTACATGCCCCATTCGTAACCCCAGACTTCAATAACCAAGCAAAAAGAGCAGATGAATGTCATTATGAGAGTTCTCTGTACACTTGTGAATCAAATACCCGCTATGTCAGGCACAGCGTCAAAGAATGACTCCGAAATAGGATGCCCTACTGCATGCTCGAATATCTTCAATCAAGTAATGTGTCATATAATCTTGAACGCCAAACATTGCCTGTAGTATAGTATCCATGAGTCTGGTTCGCATGGTGAAAATACCTCTTTCCTCGGCCGTCATGTTACTCGTAAACCCCCATCATTGGCGTAAAACCCCACAAAGCAAACCCGCACATTACACCGAAGTAGAAAAGATAACACCACTCACGACAAAGAAGTCACAAGTCCCGTGTGGACAGTGGTAGCAGCCCCAGCCTGTATAACCAATGCAGGCCCGTGGCCCAACCACACATTGAATCCTTCACGACTCTCCTGATCTCGTCCTGGAAACGCGTCCCAGACACTATTCGTTGTGTCTGCATAATGTGAATGAACACCCGAAAGCTTGTCCGAAACATCTGCTGGCGATGGTGGGAAGCGTCTTCTTAGTGAACAAAACCAAAAGTACAACCCTTCACATAACTCCCGCACACGGACCTCGTAGTCTCCTCGATGCGGCTCGCACTGGACAGTGCCATCGCCTAGCATACCCCACCAAGTGTGGCGCCATCGCAAGGACACGAGTAGAAGTCCGATATTTTGTAGGAGACGGTTTAGATCTGCGTCTGACAGCTGATTGGCGTTGTGGCATCGTGTCTGGATATGAGTGTATGCTTCAACTTCAACTTTGCGTGCAATGATGCGGGCCAAATGGGCAGCGCAGGTAAGGTATTTTTCTTCATGAGCAGCCTCGGGATCGATGTTTCGACCGCTCAAAGAGTTTTGTTTCGCGTGTCGATGAGGTAAAGGAACGTACGAATATGTGGCCCGGCTCGGCATGTTGCCCAATGCCAACAGCAGTGCAATCTTATCGTCCTTGGTGCTGGCTTGACAGTCGGTGATCATTGAAGTCCAGTTGTCTGATCTCGGCCTGTCTTGAAACAGCTCCTTGTCGATAAACGCGCTCATGTTCGGCTCATAGCCCTTTTGCAAATAAAGGTCGCGGAGCCTTGATAAATAGTTTCGACACTGATCCAATCTAAGGACGTACATCGATCGTCCGCCCTGACTGACCCTTAGGTCAAAACGACCTGCGACGCTTTGAAGTGTTCGGATCACTTCATCAAGAGGGAACTCCTCTGGAAGCGGTTTACAGATGCGTTTACTTCCATCTATTGAAATATGGTGTATGGCACGCTGCGCTGCAGACTGGTCAGGTCTTTACGATCACGGCTGATTCAAGACAACTTACAAATATAGTTGAGAGCGCCAGAGCTCACAATATCGTCAAAGTACGCTCTGAAGCAAGGGCCTGGTCGCTTAGAGGCATGTTTCACACAGTTGACACAGGATGAATTCGGAGATTCCATGGGTCTTATGCACTGAGATATGGTTAGCCATGTTTCACGTAGGGTCGCTCTTAGGATTGCAAGAACTCACTCCCTGCTTTTTTTGTTTGCAAGCAATGCAAATGGACCTGTCAGTCCGCGTCTTTTTGGCGGACTCGCGTGCTGGTGTCTTCATGGGGCCATTTCGTTTACCTCGAACTCCTCCTGAAGTAGTGGATCTTGGTAGGGGTAACGAGGCGGCTGAGACAATCCTACTCGACCTGAACATCTCGGGAGCCGCAGGAGAGTGAGGCTGAGTAGGGCTGTTTTGAGGCATGTACCGATGCAAGGCCTGCGAAGGCGATCTTCCTGGAATTGCTATGGGCTCGCTACCGGTCGAGAAGGGTCTAGGTCGTTGCGACTCAGAGGCTCTTCTCCTCGTTCGTGGAGGTACTGTCAAGAGAGATTGGTGACTTCTTGGGGGAGCTGGCGAGTCGATCCATAATGCTTGCGTTTCAAGCAGTGGCTCGGCAAAGTTGTGATTCGACGCAGAGGTGGGAAAGTGATCCAGGGGGTGAGTATTGGAGGACGGAACACTGCCGAAGTCATGCTCCAACACATCACCATACGGCTCGGGCGCAGGCCATGCAAGCAATGGTTCCTGTGTCCCGGAGTAGTTTGTGTGTGCCCCTGTGGGGTTGATGTCGCCAAATTCAATGAAATTGGTGTGCACACCAACATGGGCGTCGTGGGTCAATTGGGATTCCCAGTGTTGGAAATAGGCTTGGCCGGCGTCTTCAGTTGGGGATACCTGACTCTGGGCGATTCCAGCCGACAGAGCACTCTCCCTGGGGAAGATGCCCTGTATGTTGTACGGAACCGCACCTGGTGGCGGATCGTTCAAGGGGGTCCTCGAGTGGCCGAACCGGGGCTTCACGGAGGTCTTGGGGGGAGTGGTAGTGAGCTGCCCACCAAGATAGGGGCTACTGGTGGCGGGCGAGGGCCGCGGGCCGCCGAGCGGTCCCGGAGCGCTCGCAGGAAAGACATTTTTCGAGTAGCCGGCGCTGGTCGCGGGGGTGACGAGACTGGTTTGTGGACGGTCAAAGTCAAAGCTATCATTTGCTGAGCCGCAGCTGTGGGCAATCGACGCTGTGTCATCGTAACCACTGGCGTTGCTGTCACGACTCTCGGTTCGGACGAGTCTCGCTCCGTAGGCACCATGAACAGGGAAAACAGGCTGTCTCTCGGAGATGAAGGATTCGTCTAAAGAACCAGCCGCCGAGGAATATGGGGATTGTAAGGCGGCCTGATAAACCTTGTTGTCGAGGTCCTGGTAGAATTCACTTTGGGGAGTGTCAGTTTCTTGATGAGGCAACCGTGCAGTGCAGACTAGGTCCAGAGCGATAATTCAGCAGAGCCAACGTACTTGATCAAGATGGATGGAGTCCTTGGGTCTGTTCGCTGCCCGACACCATGTCCAGACGGCACACAGGTGTGCGTTGAGCCAAAGTCTGAGGGTGACGAGAACGGTGGGAAGGGCAAGGAAGGCTCGCCGCTTCGGTGAATAGTCAAGTTCGGCGAGTAGGCCCCGTAAGGGTATGATTGATTGCCTCTCCCAGTCGAGCAGGCCAGGTTGGGATCCCGAGGCACGGGGTTCTCTGGCGGGCCTTGTGGAAGCCTACCTGCCATTGCTGAGGGTGGTCGACAAAATGAGAACAAGATGGGGACAATGATGAAACTATAGTGGCGAAGTGAAACTTGAACAAGTCCCCATGATCTTTCGGGAAACTCTCATGACGGGGGCGGGCTGTGAAGAGAGAGTGTTGGGTTCAATAACATGGCGATGGGGCGGTGCCAGCTGATGTCTTGTACCATGAGCCAAGCCCAAGGTGGACATGAGCACTGCTGAAAAGCCGGAGCCGCATCATGTTTCTGCGTATACATGCGTCAGGGAAGACGTCAGGCCTTGCCAAGGCAGACTGAGCAGAGTGAACAGAAGGCGAGGCGAAACGTCGCGGGCGAATGCTGAGAGGCAAGTGGTAGCTCGAGTCGGCTTTCCCGACTTCGGTGACCGTGCTGAGAGCTAGGCAGGTGCGAATCCGGCCGTTGCGACTGCCCGTTGAATGATCAGGCAATTCTTACATGGTGTGCGGAGCATACGAAGGCCGGACCCTGTGCGCATCTTCCCTATCGAGCGTCAGGCGGCCACACCCCACATCACTCGGGGGAAGGCATGTCACTGGAAGGAGGGGGGGGGGGAGGGGCCGCCGCCATGTGTCTGCGGAAGGCACATCTCAGTGTGAGGCGGACCGAACGAACTTGAGTCACATTGCCAACCATCATCTTGACACTTTCTTCATCAAGGCTCTCAGCATTGGCGTTCAACCTTGTCACAACCATCACTTTCGTCTGCTGCACCGCATCCCTCCGCTCCCCCCCAAGAACTGGCTTGCGAACCCTCTCAACGAATCAATCGTCAATGTGCATGCAAACGGCCACCCGATTTCCTGGTTGAAGCACCTTCTCATTGCCCAGCTTGCACGGCACCTCGCCCGGAACGCTCCCCATTGGGCCATCACTTCCAGGCATCCACGTCCACGAGACCTCGCCTGCATAACATCGCCTTGAGCCAAAAACAGCCTTGTTATCGTCCTGTAGACTTCAGGAGTTCGCCGGCCTGCGGCCATGCATATTCTGGTGCGCGGCCCATCCTTCTGTTTTTGACTGCCGAATCTACCCTTCGCGCTTCAAATATCGCGCGCTCCTCGCCCCCCCCGGATAGCTACCTGAGCAAGTCCAGCGTCCCGTTGCGACTCAGCCGAGCCGTGCTCAACGCAGCGCGCCGCCCGAAGCTGCCCTTTCCGTCCCCCAAGCCGCCAAGCTAACACACATACAGATAGTCAACGATGACGGGCCTCCTTCGGCCTCATCGCCCTATTTTGCGCCCTTCCTCGCCGCGCTCCACGCCGCTGGTCACACCACCGTTGTCGTCATCCCTGATCGCCCTCTGTCCTGGATCGCAAAGGCCCACCCCGTGGGGAAGACGTTGACAGCGACGCCTTATCTTCCCATGGTCTCCGCTCATGAAGAGCGCCGACCAGCCGACGGATCTTACGATCCCACCAAGCATTGGCTTCTCGTCGATGGCCCGCCCGCCAGCTGCGTCCAGCTCGGTCTCTTCCACACTGGGTCAGGCTCCGCCTTTGACCTCGTTATCTCCGGCCCCAACCATGGGCGAAACTCGGGCGCGCTGCACACGTTGAGCAGCGGCACTGTCGGTGGTGCTCTCGAGGCTGCTCTTTGTGGCCGCCGGGCGATCGCCCTGAGCTTTGGCAGCAAGGAGGTGCAGCCCGACAGGCGTACTGCCGACGCCTGCTTGCGGTCGTGCGCACTCGTCGAGGAGCTAGCACGTGAATGGGCGCCGGGCGTCGAGCTATACAGCGTCAACGTGCCCATGGTTGACAGCGTGACAACGTGTCCCGCTCGCTACACCAAGGTGGCAGCGAACCGTTGGAGCAAGGGGAGCCTGTTCGCGCCAGAGGAGAGCCAGGAGGATGCCAAGGGGACACTTCGATTCAGGTGGGCTCCCGACCTGGCTGACGTGCATCGCTCCGCGGGGGTCAGCAAGGCAGGGGAGGATTTGTGGTGCTCTCTGAATGAGAGCATCAGTGTGACGCCGCTCAAAGCCGACTTTGCCGTTGCTCCGACGCAGGGAGAGGCACCGCAAGGATTACTGTTGCGGTAGAAGTTTGATTATAATTTCTTTCATAGACGCACGAGCGTGCTTTTCACGCTAGATTAGGCTTTGATAGATTCCGCCAGACAGGCAGGCTGACCAGGTTTGGATCAAGGTGCATTAGAAGAATAGATGCGCTGGGCGCTTGACATTTCTACTTCTACATGCGTGAGTCGCTTCTTTTTCGCTTTTCCCCATCTACTTGGAAACGCATCCGTTGGCGCTGTCCTCGATGAAGACGCCAGCGTAGATGAGACCCTCATTGAGGGGGCTCTCCTGGAAGCCCGAGTTGACAACGTCGTCTGTGCCAGTGGGCTTCTTGAGGATACCGACGTGGTACTGGCCCTCGCCGGCAAGGTTCGCAGGGAAGGCGCCCTTGCCGGAGGGAGCCAGGGGCTTGTCGCCCTCGGAGTAGAGGACACCGATGGTGCTGGGAAGAACGTTTAGCAGAAAGGACTGAAGGGGGAGGAAAAGGCTGGGGCACGACATACTTGGCGTTAAAGTCGAGGGTCAGGCCAAAGTTCTGCCAGACGCCGTCGAGGACGGGCGTCGACCAGAGCAGGGCGTTGTTGCGGTCGAGGAGCTTCCAGGTGTTGGCGGGCAGCTCGGGCTGGCCGATGATGGTGCCGGTCTGGAAGTTGAACTGGTTGGCGTCAAAGACGGCCGTCTCGTGCCAGACGTTGAGGTACTCGTGCGACTCGTTGAAGCGGCGCTGGGCGTCGGTCTGGACGCTGAAGTGCAGCGTCTTGACGCCGACGCTGCCGGGGCTGCCGCTGCCCGTGTCGTTGGCGAACTGCAGCTCGGCGCGGCGGAAGCCCAGCTGCGTCATGAAGATGGACTCGTCGCTGATGGTCACCTCGACGGGCCGCGTGTTCTTGGCGGCGTCGAAGCGCGAGGCCGGCGTGATGGTGGGCAGCAGGAGGATCTCGGACCACGTCAGGTTGTTGCCCTTGACAAAGTTGGGGTTGAAAGGGTTGAAGCCCCCGCCGCCGGCCGTGTCAAAGTCCTGGACCGTGGCCGTCTGGGGCACCCGGCCGTCAAAGACGATGGGGCAGGTCACGGCGGCCTGTCGGCACTTGGTGACGGGCTTGGCGATGGAGGACGCCACCAGGGCGGAGAGAACGGTGAGGACGGAAGGAAGCATGATGATGATGATGATGCTGATGATGCAGATATTTCTGTTGAGAACCAAAAATAAGTGTTGATGAGTGTAAAGACTGTGTTGTTTTGAAAAGAATGAAGTATGAAGAACACGAAATGAAGACGACTGCGAATGACGAGACTGACGATCCCTTCAAGGTAGGCCAGACACAAGGACGGGCACCGGCCATCCTTTTGTACCCGATAGTTCGCAACCCACGAGCCATGGTCCACGGAGCATGGGCGACGCGCCCGTGATGTTGCTGATCCAACGTCCAGGGATCACCGAAGGTTCCGGTTCAATGGTCCCCTAATTAAAGACGGCGACTCAGGCACCGAACTGGTTCATTGGCAAAGCTCGCGTTCGGTAGGCTGGGTGAATAGGCAGGCCCCACGGCATCCCCGGCCGAGGGGTAAACCTTATTGTGAAAAAGGGTTCTAGTGCACATCATCTGTAACGTCTTGATTGCATAATGGCAGAGGGCGCATGGTGGTTCACGTCCGTCTCGTGTGGGCCGACGGCACGACGTTCGGGACAGGTGCGAAGTCCGGATGGGGCGGGCGACTCAGTCGTCATCGCTGGAAGTGGTACCTAACGGCACTGCAAGATAGAAAACCGATCCCGAGTAAGATGAGACGAAGGGGCTGAGCTTATTCGGTACATTGCGGTTCGCACGATTTGGGGGCGGGCAGCGTTTGAGGTTGACGCGCTTCGGCGTGGGACGAGTCAGTACAGGGGGTTAGCTTGCTGTACCTGGGCGTTTGACGTTTGACAAGTGCCGATGGAGGTTGATGAGCACTCTCCCACTGGCGCCTTGGCACACCGTGATAGCTTCGTCCGGATGATCTGACCCCAGCGACGTAAGGGCAGGTCAGGTGTTTGTCATGATGTTGCCAAGAGGCACAATCACCTTTGACCGCTGAGGTAATGGGCACTCGCCATCTCGGTATAGCCATTACACCTGACTGGCTCACATGTAGAATTCGGTGAGTAGGCGAGTGAGTACCACGTACGTTCATCCTGCCGCTTGGCCCAAAGAGGTAAACGAGACGCTGGACGCGGCCCCGCCCGAGCTTCCTACTGCCGCCGAATCAAGGGACGCATGTCCTGTTCGTGCCCGCCATCTTGACGATACGAAATACGACCACGATAGTCATATGCAGCCTTGCCGTTGAACTACGGGCCAATTGCGCTACATGTCTGACGCCGTAGTCTCAGCTGGCGCTCGCCAGCGCCGACCATCTGACATTCAGAGTGAATCTGGCCTCGCAACAGGAGGGCCTCAGTCCGCAGGTGGGCATGAGGAAGAAGACTTCGGCCGAGACTGGGCACTATAAAAAGTGCGGTTGCTCTGTGTTGTTGTCGTTGTCGTGTTGAAGCCGTTTCTCTATCGATATCTCATCCTCGAGTTCTGAGCCATCCCTCCTATTTGCTTTGGAGATTGGTCTTGTAAGTGATCACGACTCTGCCTTCAGAAGAAACCGCCCAACCATAGTCTTCCTAAGACTGCACATCATGTCATCCTCTCGCAAGACCGAGGACGTTGCCCATGTGCCGCCCACCCTCTCGGACCTCCACTGCTTCACCGAGACGGAGGGCGTCATCACGACCACCATGTTCGACATACCCGGGTATCGCGTCGTCCGCACCCTCGGCGCCGTTTACGGTCTCACCGTCCGTTCCCGCAACTGGGCCGCCGGGCTCGGCATGGTCCTCAAGTCCATCGCCGGCGGCGAGCTGCGCTGGTTCACCACGATGCTCTACAGCTGCCGCAACGACGCCATCTCGCGCGTCGTCACCGAGACCAAGTCGAGGGGCGGCAACGCCGTCATTGCGCTGCGGTTCGATGCCGGGGAGCTGGGCGGCTTCGCCCAGGTCTGCGCGTACGGGACGGCCTGTGTCGTGGAGAAGATTGAAGACCACAAGGGGGTGGCGCCGCAGTTGCAGGCGTGAAACGGATGGTTGCTGGCCGAGGTCGGAACGGAGAGAGGAGAAGTAGCCTGGGATGAAGCCTGTGAAAGAGGGCAGGAGAGGATGCCGGCAAAGAGGGAACAAAACGCTGCACAGCAACTTCTCATTTGCACGGTCATATTTGCGATAGATACCAATCTCTCATTTTGCTCGCTCAGTCGATTCTGTTAGACTCGTCTTCAGCTTTTTGTCATAAAATCGTTATTGTGCTGCCCGGCCAGACGAAGCCTCATCGGCCGCGGCCGGAGCATGCCCATATGAAAGGGTTGAAAATGTCCACCAACGCCAGCCCCGTGATAAAGACAGATAGAGCTTCTTGCCTCTTGCCCCTTGCCCCTTGACCCTGCAAGCCAGATGTGCATGTCAAATGCACATCCAAGCGAGATGCACTCTAGCCGAGGTGCCCATCTAGATGAACATCTTGGCCATGCCCCCAATGGTGTCCCCCCACCCCAAGTCCTTCTCGACCGTCTTCTTCTCCCACGTCATGCCATTGCCCATGCCGCGCTGGATGTTGATCTTGGCGCCCTGGCCACCGCCGCCGCCGAACGACCCGCTCGCCATGCGCACCGCCTCGCCGACGGCGCCGAAGCTGTCGCCGCCCGCGGCCCGCGCGCCCATGCCAATCATGCGCTCGACGCTCGGCGGCAGCCGCAGGCCGAACTTGGCCAGCAGCGCCGTCAGGAAGCCGCCCGTGAGGAGCGGCATCAGCACCAGCATGACGACCTTGCCCGGGTTCTCCTTGAGCAGGCGCATGAGGTCGCGCCAGAGCCGCTTGACCGTCTTCTTGGCCTTGTGGAGGAAGCCGCCGCGCGGCGACCGTTTGTAGTACGAGGGGCGGCCTGCGCTGCGTTAGTCTTTTCTTTCCTTCATATCTGAACAGCAGCAAATCGGGGCCACGACTGCGACGGGACGAGGGGCCAAAGGAGAGGAAGAAGGGGGTAACTCGGGGAGACGTACTGAATCCGAAAAAGGAGGAGCGGCTGGCGTTCGGCTGCCCGAAGAAGCTCGACCGCGAGCTGCTGTGCTTCTGGTAATTGTCGCCGCCGAACAGCGAGGCCGCGAAGCCCTTGTCCTGGTGCTTGCGCGAGCTGGAGTGGCTGCGCGACCGGTCGCGACGCTTCGAGGACTTGGGGTGCGACGAGTGGCGGCGCGAGTGCGACGAGCGCCCGGAGATGACGCTGCCGCCGTCAAAGTCAAAGAAGCCCATGGCGGCGATCGACTTGTATAGTTTCTCGTCCGTTTGTTCGTTGTCTGTATGTGTCTATGTTCGTTGCGTTGCGATGCGAGGCGCGTGTTCGACAGAGTGGTGCTTTGTTCGGGGACGAGCGCACTTGGGCCTTTGGCTTTGGGAGGTGGCTGGTCAGAGCTCTTGGGAGCTACCTGATCGAGGAAGGAAGCTCAGATTCCCTTTTTGAACTCCCACGTCTCGGCAGGTACGGATAGAGCGCAATCGACTTCTCTCTCTCTGATGAGGCTCTCCCAACGAACCTATCGCGGAGCCTTGTCTTGTCAATGTGCGTAGGAAATGCAATGCAAGAAATGCTGCGTCTTGTCCTTGTCTTGCCCGCGGTGCAATGCGAACGGGGGGGCGAGAAGAACACGAGGGGATTGGGTCGGGGCGTGTGGCAAGCTGCGTCCGGGTCTCACCGCTGGGGGCGCTCCTCAGAGGGCCCCCCAAAAACTGGACATGTCGACGGCGAAATGCATGAGGTTGGGGGTAGACCCAGCTTGCCAGGCCCCGCGCCTGGGCTCCCAAACAGGCCTGGCGTGAGGCGATCCTGGGCGGTGAACTTCAGGGGTCTTCTGGCGAGACGGCGACGGACCGATCCACCAGATCAGACTACGGGATCTTGTAGATGGCTCGATTGCTGTAGTGCTGTAGATGGACCACTTATCAACTCGACGTGCCTTAGTCGATGGGCACACATGCCGCTGGGTCGCGGCCAGACCCAGGACCAAGACGTCTGGCCAGGTCGGAGAGTCGCATCAAAACACTGGGTGCGTGGCCACAAAACCAGAAATCAAGAAAATATTAACTCTATACCGTATGACCAGAATGCAGCACCAAAAGCTAACATGATAATTCCGAAGACCCCGAAGACCCCGAAGACCATGACGAGTGCTACTTCTTCTTCTTCCTTCCGCTGGCAACTGGCTTTCTCTTGACAGGAGACGAGTTGGACGACTTCTTACCCCTCGACACTTCACGGCGCGGATCCGCCGGTTCTTCCTCAACCACAATTTCACTTTGCCTGCCCCTTCGTAGCGGTGGATCTACAATCTGAACCCCGTTGCCGAGGTCGTCGCTCGTGTCCGGGTCGCTCGTCTCGCTCGCCGCCTCACTCGTCTCGTCCGGGCTCGGCCGCCGCGAGCTTCTGCCGCCCCTAGCTGCAGCAGGGGGGCCCGACGACCGCCGAGCCTCGGCCGGACCTGCGAGGTGCCTCCGGGAGGTGGCCCCAGCGCCAGTCAGGTACGGCGCGCGCGAGCTCTCCGATTGAAACATGTGCGGGTCCAGTGAGTGCCGGCTCCTCGAGATGGACGACGAGGACGATGCCGGCGAGAGCCCGGGCGTCCAGGCATCCTCCGCGGGCAGAGCGCCTCTAGAGGAACGCGGCCTTGAGCTGACCGTGTCCGAGACGTGACGGTGAGACGATGGAGGTTGGCTGTAGGCCGCTGGGTTGAAAGGCGACGACCCACGATGGTCTTCCACTGCTCGAGAGGACCGGTGAGACTACGTCGTCGACTACCGGG